TTTGTATCAACAAAATAACTCTTCTTACCACATTATTTAAAAAATAATAATTGTAATATATAGATGTAATACCTGAAGAGAATTTAGTTTTTATTTGTATAAACTTAAGCCAATTCTTCTCTGCATTTTAGTGCAGTCAATGCTTTGGTACCTGGAAGCCGACAAACAGTTTTATCTCTAATCTAATTAGATGGAATTACTTCTTCTTGTAAATCTTCATTCCAAACAGCTCCTTTCCGCATATTCGATTTTGAAAAAATTATATGAACTAATATAAAATGAAGAAACCATAATATAAGTGTACTAACAGGCCTAAATAAACTAGGTAAATTTGAACATTTTATAACCATGATACTTGCTAAACAATAATATTAGTAGACATTATAAGCAAAGATAGGATATTCTTTATTTTATAAATTTATTATATTTCAAACTCATTTTTATTAATTTATTTATTACTCTATTGTTCGGCAGAGTTCTGAATATATTATGTTCAAATAACTTAAGGCTCAATAACAAAGACAAATAATGAAAGAATACTAGGTTGCTAAAACATAAACATCGACATAATTATGGAATATTAAAAAAAATAGAAATACAAAAAAACAAAAATATTCACTATTAATATAAAATATGATAGTATAATATAAGGTATATTATAATATATGACACAATAATATTTACTTTTATTTAAAATATAAAAACAACAAAAATTAAAAAAGAAAATATTTTGATAAATAATAAATTATCATTTAAACAATTTTCAAGACCAAAAAGTAACTTGTAACTTATTTTTTACTTATCTTCATCTAATAAACATTACTTATTTTTTTACTCATGTTCGTCTAATAAACATAAATATTAATACCAATTTTAAACATTATTAGAATTTTTTTTATCAAAAAATAAAAATATTACATCAGTAACTTTTTGGGCTTTTCTTATTTTACTTAAAACATCAACTCAATTCTAGGCTTTTTTCATAATTGACTTTTAATTTGTAATGTTGAATTAACACTGAAAAAAAAATATTAGCAGACAAAAAGAAAATATTTCCTTATTGAAATATATGTAAATATTTCAATAAAGAAATTTTAGATCGATTTTTATAAATATAAATTTATATTAATCAATCTAAATTTTATTCTTTTCCGCCACCTTTTTGAAATAAAGCGCATTTTTAGAAGTTAGACAAAATGCCATCAATTAAAGTTTCAGTCGCTCCATCGTATTTAATAGAAGAAGTTGTTAATAAAAAAGAATAAGAAAAAAAAAAAAAAAACACAAGGAGAAATTTTTGAATATGTAAAAAATGAGAATAAAAAAGTTTCACATATCTTATAAAGGTATACCTCTCACTGCACCATATAAATTAGTGCTCTTAAAGCATATTTTCACCTTTCCCCTTCATATTCATGGAGGTCACAAAATTGTTACAAAATATTCTAAATTTTAATAGATAAGAGAACTGATATTAATTATGCGAGAACTAATATTAATTTTTTTTTAATTTAAATTGAACTCATTATCAAACAATTTTTTTGCTAAATAATTTAATCCTTAAAATTCCTGGATAATGAAAAATTATTTTGATAACCTCAGCATTTTAAAGATATTCCATCAATTGCAATTGATTCACCTAAAAAACAACAACAAGTAAAGCAAATATTATTGTTTAAAATTTTAATTATCTTTATACAAACACTCATTATATTTTTAAAGTGACTGATAAAAATGGATTTAATTAAAATCACTTCATTTGTATTAAAAAAATAATATTAAAGCTTTAATCGTACATTATACAAGAGTATTTTGTAATACAATCTAAATAGTTATTGCGATACGTAATTTTTTTACCCGAAATTTAGCTTCTGTAAGCTTTAGAAATTTTTTAAAGAAACCATTGATGAATTTGGAGCTACGGGTACTAATATTTTTATATTGTTGTAATGTTTGTATTCATTACCTGTTTGTTTCTGTAAGTCAAAATTTTAAGGTGTTTCCATAATAAATTCTGTTATATCTGAAATTTAGAGTTAGTCTGAATAATTTAATTTCTAAAATCTGTTTTGTATTGCCTGTCTTATAACATATTTATTTGGAACAAAAACCATGTGGTTTAAAAGTGAGCTAGAAGCTTTCAACAATGAAGAAAATATTGCATTCGCTAATCCTAAAAATATATTAAACCTTTCAGCAAAATCATCTGTCAATAATCCAAGTATTAGCATCATTAAAAATTCATCTTTGCTACATTACATTTATTTTGGTCCAAGTAGTTAAGGATTTCTTTAAATTTCAAAAAACAGAAATAAATGTTTTTTTAATATCACTTTATCTCTTTTGATTAATGGTGATACTGCACTAAATGATGAAACACATTGACAGATGTAAGGCCAGTATAAAAGTCGCAAGATCTATTATTTTTAAAATAAATGTTTGTATACAAGTAAATTGCAATAACACGATTTGTTTGGATTATGTTTGTATACAAATTTGTCTGTTTTCATAGTAATAACTGATATGGTTGAAGTTAATTTTTCATATAAATCTTTATTTTTTTATTTCGTGCTGAAGTTCTTTTTTAAAGTTATTAATTTCCTTTTTTAATTCTTGATGCGCTATTAAAAAAAAACAACGCTTAGCATTAAATTCAACATAATTTAATGGATCATTTTTTGAAAAAGTTGTATTATATTTACATTTAATAATATCAGTCTTTGAGCATTGTAGCCCAAGTTAAGCGAAAAATATCGATTTTTAAACGATAATGTTCTTTCAGGAAAATCGTCTGAACATGTTTTCGATCTCTTGAAAATTCTATATGGTATAAGTTCAGTATTTACATTTTTTTTCCATTATAAATCTCTATAACTTTAACCGTTGAAATAATGTTTACGTTTTTACTTCCGTTTCTGCGCGCGTATAAAGTTTATATCGTATTTTTTGTCAACAATGATTGAAATAATGACCTTGAAATAACGTTAAATAATCATCGTTTAAACTGTAACGTTGATTTAACGTTGTGACATAGTTGAACAACGTTGAAACAACGCTTCAACAGAATTTCAACGTTGAAACAACGTAATAATGCCGGCTGGGGGGTCTTGTTAACCTTTCTCTACAAATAATTGATTAAAAAATGAAAATCTAAAAAGTTAAACGTCAAAGAGAGAAAAGCGTGCCAACGTGCACCGGTCTACTCTAAAGTACATTTTAAATGTTTTAATTATACGTACGTATGAAAAATCAAAAGTACTAGTTTGTAAAAGCAATGTCTAAAATCAAAATAATTTAAGGATTGACTTTAAATCTTTTATTTGATTGAAGGAAAACTTAATTCTGTGGTTATAGGTTATTAATTTATAATGTTTATTTATAATCTAACTTTATGATAACTGGTATAGACAGTGGTATTTCGTTTTCTTCATTAGAGTTATAATTTCTTCATTTGTTATTTTGTTTTTAAAATTTAATTTATTAATTTCCTTTATTACCAAAAATTGTAAATAAAATCATTTTAACCGAAGTACAACAAATATTATAATTAAATGTTCTAAATTTAATGACTAAAGGATTTTTAAAAAATTACCACGACAAGTTGTGATTATAAAGTAGGACATGAAAGAAAACTAGTACCAACTAAAAGCTATACCAGGGTTTCCATAGAAAAAATATGAAAACAAGAACTTTCGAGGAACTCTTTCCAGGATATTAGCCAAAACCTCCTGCCTGCCAAAGGTGTTTCATAAAAAAAAAAATTTTAGATAAAATTTAAAAAAATCAATTTCTTAAAAGTCTAAACATTTTTTTATTTGAATTTTGCAAATGAAAAGATATTGAATAAAACTTTATTAACGCATGAAAAGTCATACTTAATACAAATTTTTCTGAAGATTTTTTTAAAAATTCCATAATTTTTTCAATTTTTTAAAAAAAAAAAAAAAATTCTAGGACTTTCCAAGACAGCAGTACAATTCCAGGAATGTGGTAACACTGTATAGTTTAATTGTATACCAATTTTTTTTTTTTTATTTGATTTTTTTTTTCGATGTTGAAAATACCTAATCTTAAGCTAACGTGTCGGTTCGACACGTTAAGATCAACGTGTTAAACCGACGCGATGAAAATGTTTGACACATCATTTTAGATTTAAATGACTCAGTTCGCACAGTTCCGAGATGGTGCAAAATGACCAAAGATAGATGTCTTATATCATTACTCACTTGGTCGACTACAAACACTAAAACGTTAAACCAAATAAAAAACCGTTTCAATTGTATGTTTCAATTGGAAGAAAAAAGGTCTCTCTCGGACCAATAGCAAAATAAATTTTAACTTCAAGGCATCTAATTTACCGAATATTTAAAAGTGATTTGTCAGGCGTACAAAAAAAGAATAACTACTTATAGATTACGTTAGCAAATTGGGAGAGAAACAATTTTTAAACTCAAAAATAATCATTATGAACTTTGTTTGATTGTGTTTGGAAATTTAATACAAAACAATTTCTTAAAAAAAAAAATTATTACAAATTTTGCTTGACGCATTGCTTCGCATGTCTATGAATAATGGAAACTTGAATCAACAACTTTTTTGCATCAACAAAATAGTTTTTAAAAGAAAAGAAAACCCAAAAGGACGAACTAGATCAATATCAAAATAAATTGTCTGGGCTAAAATAATGTACGCGATAAATTTATTAAATAACTCATTTTAAAGCCAAATATAATATTGTGTAATAATAAACATTTTTCATTGACGTTCATTTAAGAGAAACAACGCAAAACTTTAATTCAATTTTAAAATGTTGTTGAGGTAAATAGTAATTTTGTGAGTCACTCAGAATTTGTTTGCCGAGGCCTAAAAATATGAATTTCTTAGAAAAAACGATTAACTAATAAAAAAGCAGTATTGCAGGGATCCCGGAACATATTAGTTTGCAGGGTGATAATTAATAAAATGAAAATGTTGTTAATAATACAGAAATAGATTTAAACAAAAAAAAATTAATTTATTGCTATAAAACTGTGCAGGTCATCACCGCTTGGCTCCCGCGGTGTTATGCATTCATCCGACATAATATAAAATAAATAAAGTATGTTTTATTATAATGGTAAACATTTATTCAAATTCTAAATCACTATCATCCGATTCACTACTTAATTCATCTTCAAAGTCTTTAAACAACAGAGTCTTTATTTCACTTAAAGTATCCGAATTAAGATAAGGATAAAAAGCCTAAGAAAAACAATTTGTTTTAAAATTTAAAGCATCTATTTCATTCAGTAATCTTGCTTTCCACCCATTATCTTCAGTATTATCTTCAAGTAATGTGAGAGCTTCCTTAAATTCATTTATTTTAGTTTGGTTAAAACTTATTACGTTTTTCATTTCGCTTTTAACCATTTCGATTTCTTCGATAGCTCTACAGTTCAATTGAAACAACTCAATACACTTTCGTTTAATTATAACGGGGATGGCGAAATCGGAACTTTTTTGTGTCCAATAATTTTTCCAAAAAACACTCTTCAAATCACCAACCTCGTCCCAAACAACTACATTTTGTAAAAACTTGCTGGGATAAATTAAAGCTATAGAATTATACTCCTTGATCAGATCTTGCTAACTCTTATTATTTTTATTCAGCTGCTTAGTAAGCTTTATAGCAATTTTCTGGCCGTCTAAACAAAGAAAATCATAAATAAATGTTTTCAATTTGAAAATTATAGGCTTTCATTAAACATTTCAAGTAATTTTAAATTAACTTTTTACCTGCGTATTTTTTTTCTAAATTACCAAGAAATAACTTTTGAAATGCAAAAGATTGCATTTTTAGCATAATATTATTCTTTTTTCTTTAAAAGACAGTTGCTAAGGTGTCCTTAAAAAAAGCATTATTTGGATCCCACCGAGTATTTATTTTTAATTTCTTCTCTTTAATACTGAGTTCTCTTTCAAGCCTGATATAACACACAAATGTTGTTTAAAAAAGATAAATATAACCATTGGTTCAGAATATTGTTTTTGAAAAGATATTACCGTTCTAGTTCTATGTTTATATCTGGATTGCTTGTCGTAGTTTCAATATCATTTCTAATAAATAAAAAATAAAAAAATACCAAATGCAGTTATGTAATTTTTCTTCTTTTAATCCAATATTAATTATATATAACAATATCATTAAACAAATAAATAGATAAACAGGTTAAATATTAAAAAAGAATATTCATGTTTCATTAAGCTATACTATCATTATACAATACCTGTAGATAGTAATCTCGAGTACACATCACCTTTAAAACTAGTTTTCCCATTATTTTCGCTATAATTTTGCTTAAAGCTTTTTAAAAAAAATTTTGCTTAAAGTTGTTTCTCAATTTTTTGGAAATTTTTTTTTCATTTTCTTATGAGTGACGAATAAAAAAGCTTAAAAATCAAATCAAATACACAAATATATACTTAAACTTGTATGCAACATTTTGTATGTCCGGAAAACCTAAAAGTTCAGAAATATATCCGGAGATCCGGGAATATCCAAAAAAAGGTAATCCCTGATTTATAAAAATTTTACAAATCAAGTTGTTAAAATCTATGTATCTATGCTCTTATTTTAAACTTTTACTTTTAAAAAAATCCTTTAAGTCTTGAAACTAATAACTAAAAAATACTTCTGCTCAAACAATTTACCTTAACTTCCACCAATCATTCAATATTAAAACATAGCATTCAAGATTGCTTTCTGCAAATAATACAAGTATTTATTAAAATTTATAAAAAATAAGAGTATAATTTTAGTTTTGATTAAATCTAACATTATTAAATTAAAAATTCATAGTAAAATACATTTAAACCTTTATCATTTTTTTGATTTCCACAGTCTTCCATATCAATTTCTGTTGCAATCCAAGATTGAATAACTTCTCTTTGTAGAACTAAAGAATATTTTAAAAATAATTTAAAAATCAATTTAAAAATAATTTAAAAATCAATTAAGTACCCTCCAGGGTATATAAAAAATATACAACTTCAAGTTTCAGCAGAAACCTTTTTCATTTTTAACTATTTGAAGCATGCAAAAATAATTTATTTTTATTATTGGAATAATTTTATTTTATCAATAATGTATGCAAAATTAGTACATAAATTTATATCTATAGAGAATTAAGGGACATTATAACATTATTATGACTTTACAGCATTATGAAATCAGGGACCCAGTGACACTGTTGTTTATATAATAGATTATTAATAATTTATTTAAAACATCAAAGTTATACAAACCGCCAATAGACTTAAGTGTTTTTTCAAGTTCAGTAGTATCTTTAATTTGTACAGCTTTGGCGATTCGAGCACATAGTCTTCTACCTAAAAATACAATACAAATATACATATGTTGAAAATGAAAGCAATATGTTATAGCAATATTTAGTTTTAAAATTACTTATTGAATTAATCGAATATTGTGCATAATGAAGTAAACCCAGTGTAAGAGTATCAGCTCTATGACTTGGTGTTTGCTCTTTAGTGATTTTTGAAAATCTTCTAAGGGCAGACCAAAGACGCTCCATAACTTCACCATCTGAAATACCTATACCAACAGTTGATTTAGGGGAATATTTTAACTAAAAAAAAAGAAACAACTAGAATGCACCTTTTGAGTATGCAAATTTACCAAAACACCTAATGTATTTTCTATTAGTTATTAATTAACAATTTGAATCAAATGTTTTCAATATCAAAGAAAAAAATAGATCTGAAAAATGTTTGTAAGAAATTAAGTAATTTGTTAATTATCAGTATTTTAAAAAATACCTGGCAAGCTGATCTATGACCATATATATGAAAAGAAGGAATACAAAAGGAGACATTCTTATCAAGGATATTACTTCCTCGTTTCTAGAATAAACAACACTGTAACATAAAATTTATATAGTTATACTTTCATAATAGCAAATCTTTATTAACTTAGGATATAAATGATTTTATAAAAAATTACAAATCATACTATAAATCCTTACTTTAAGATGTTTAACAAGCATGCATGCAATATCATACATTACCACAACATTAACCTCCTCTTTAACTTGATCAAGTATTTGGTTTATTAAATAAACCGCATTAGCCAAACTAAAAATTGAAAAATTATATTAAACAAATTATTTTTCTATACTTTTCTTATAAAAATATAGAAAGCAAGAACCTTTCACCAGATTTGAGATTAAAAAATTGTCTAGGTACTTCATGTCTGCAAGAACATCCAAAAACACCTGTTTCGTCAAGTTTTGCATTTGATTTTTTAGATCGTAATGAGTTTATTGCCTTGAAATCATTACACTGTTAAATTTTAAAAAGTAAAAAAAAATAATTCAAAATCTAATAAAAATTGCCAATTGTTTAAATTATTAAGTAGATTCAATTTATATATTTGCATTCTATTTTACTTGTCATCATTAAGCAACCGGTGCTCATTATTTTAGTATTATAGTAAATAAAACAAAAGTCAAAAAAACATATTATTTTGAATATCAAAAACCTTTAATTCTTCTACTGAGAGTTTACAGTTGTAGTTACTAACAAATTGATCAACAATAGATTGATCCAACAGGTAAAGATTTTTAAGTACTGGCTCGTAATGACTTTTCCCTGATGAAAACTTTCTCACCAATCCAAACAATTCATTAAAGGATAAAACTAATGTACCAGACTCCTATAATATAATATATAATTACTCAATATTTTATAGCTTATTTTATTCTTTAGAATGGCAGCTTTCATACAAAATTGCTAAAAATTTAATTTACAGTTTAAAGAGGCAAATGTTTCATAGGTTATATAAGTTTTTGAGAATATATTGCATTATATAGAAAATTCACAATATTAATGATTTTCTTACTTTAGGACATGCAGGACATA